ATGCTATGTAAACCCTTACCATGCTTCTATTCTTCTCAAACAAACTACTGGATGATATCTCTTACTCTATTTGCCTTTACCTCTGATGCATTCTTGCCCCCTTTCCTGTCAAACGCCCAAATTTCCAAGTAAGCTGGAAGTTGGAAGGGTGATTGGACCCATATGTATGTGTATTTTCACACAAACATATAACTATACGTACATTACACATACTTGTGTATGTATGTATCCCTGGACTTATGTCGCAACTTCTTGATTTGGGATATCATACTGACATGTGAATATCATTGTAGACCTTTGCAGTGGAATCTTTTGTACATATTCTCTCCAACCAACTAAAAGGCTCATTAGGCGTCTTAATTCAATTGGATTGCCATACAAATTCCTTTGTGAACCTTTGTCATTTTTGTTATGTCAAATTAATCTGAAACTTTTCTTGTGATAGATGTGGCAATAAAGCCCTGTAGTCATATTAGGATCCTGACTTAGCCTTATCTTTCTCACCTATTGGTTGTCATCTTCCCCTGACTTCATTGTGTATGGCTTTGTACATTTAATTTTTTTGTATAGGGTGGTGCAGAAAGGGAACAGGGTCTGCTTCAGATACTGACTGAGATGGATGGATTTAAAGTTTCCACATCACAGGTATTAATTTATGTATTCACTTGGATTGAAGAGGAGTTTTTCTGATTCAACTGCTAAATTTGGCCTTGTCAGGTGTTAGTTATAGGTGCAACAAATAGACTGGATATTCTTGATCCTGCTCTCCTGAGAAAGGGCCGGTTTGACAAGATAATAAGAGTTGGGTTGCCATCTAAAGATGGTAGATTGGCCATATTGAAGGTATTTGTTTAATGTGTTTATAATGAGAAGCCTATAATGTTCTCATGCATGATTTGTATCGATTATTATATGATTTTATTTTTGTGCCTCACAGGTCCATGCTAGAAATAAATTTTTTCGCTCTGAGGAGGAGAAAGAGGCTCTCCTGGAGGAAGTTGCAGTGCTTACAGAAGACTTTACTGGGGCAGAGCTCCAAAATATACTGTAAATAACGCTATACTTATAGTTTCTTGCTTTTGCTTTTTTCCACTTAACATCAGGGGAGAGAGCTAATGTTTCCTAAACTGAGATGACAGGAATGAGGCTGGAATTTTGACTGCCAGAAAAGATCTTGATTACATTGGACGGGAAGAACTTCTAGAGGCTTTGAAGAGGGTTAGTTTTGCATTTCTTATATATGCCTTTATTGGTTCAGCATATTGATTGTCACTTCTCACTCTGTTCATTGTTTTAAACTTCAGCAAAAGGGCACATTTGAAACAGGCCAAGAAGATAGTACAGAAATACCAGAGGAATTGAAGCTGAGATTGGCATACCGAGAAGCAGCTGTTGCAGTTCTTGCATGCTACTTTCCAGATCCCTATCGCCCATTTACAGAGGTCTCTGCAATAATATATAATCAATTGATGTAGTTGTAGTATCATTTGCTTCTCTTATATCTTCCTATATTTTCACATTTTTAATAATCAAATTTTCATGTTTATCTCCTACAGACAGATATAAAGTCTATCCGTAGCCAGTCAAATATGCACTATGCTGAATTTTCGGGCAAGGTTTTCTTGAGAAAATCAGATTATATAAACTCTATAGTGCGTGCATGTGCTCGTAAGTAGTGAAAATGTTTTTCTATTCTCCTCATAACTGAGTTTTTGATTAGTTTACTTGAGAGTGAGATGATGTTTATTTTTCATGTCGTTGGTTTCTGTGAAATTCTGTGTATTTGAAATTCACATTATTGCTTTCCCCTTTGGTGTGTAAAAGAAGGGTAAAAAATCTGGCCTAGAAAGTGAAGGTTCTAATGTGGACACTTTGTGTCTCTCATTTTCAAATGTAAGCTTGGGACCTCAGAATTAGAGCTCTATACCTTTGAAAAGAAGGTGCAACTCATTAAGTGAAGGATTTATTCTTAAAACATCATTGAGACATTTGGGTGAAAGAAATAATGAAGTTTAATCATATCAATTATATTAGCCTGTTCCCTCATCTTTAACCTACTTAATTGAGGCCCCTTGCAACTAGATGTATGCCTCTAACCGTCTGATGTTATATGTTATCAAATATAATCTTGAGAACTCCAGTAAGAATACTTTGCATCTGTTAGGCATCTGTTTTATATGATATCCATTTCCCCCCCCCCCCCCCCCCCGCTAATATGGTAAGTATGGTATGGCTGACTGTAGCTCAAATTTGCAGCAAGAGTAATCGAGGAGGAGATGTTTGGGTTGACACATGTGTTGGATCTCGGCAAAAGCTACATTAGAAGCTTCAAGGCTTGCAGAGTTTTTAATTTTGCAGACAGGGATGACAGCTTTTGGGAAGGCTTTCTACCGAAATCAAAATGATCTAGTGCCAATGTATGTTTTCAGCGTGCGGCTGTTAAACCTCTATAGCATTTCGTGAAGATCTTGAGTTAACATAGATTGTGTAAGTATCTTCATCTTCATCATGTTTGTACAGCTTGCTGCAAAACTTGAAGCACTCCGTGATGAATACATGCGTTTTTCTGTGGAAAAATGTGCATCTGTGCTGAGAGAGTTCCATTCGGCTGTAGAGACAATTACAGGTTATTGTGTTTGATATAATTGATTTCTTCAAACTAATTCATCTTTTGCGTAAAATTGTCGGTCTGACGCCATTACTTCAATTAGCTTAAATGTACTAAGAAAGTTGAGATTTTGCTACCTTAGTTTTGGATTGAAATATGAACTATGTGTAGTAAAACACTTTTTTACTTGATTCTATCTTTACATTTTGCAGATATTTTGCTTGAAACGGGAAAGATCAAAGCTGAGGAAATTTGGGACATATACAATAGAGCACCACGAATATCTCAGGTAGCTTTTGAGCCAAAGAATGACATATTTAGGGAAAACTTAAAAAAAAAAAAGAAAAAAACTCTTTATCTGAATATTGAATAATTATTACTCTATGATGTTGGTTGTCCTGGCTTCAGTGTGTAGCTTCTTCATTGGGGAAGCTGCCATGTTTTCTTTGCATTAATGAATCCAATGTGGAAATTCATAAACATTTGCAATTATTGATATTGACAGATATTCTGTAAATTGTTCTTTATCTGCTTGCTTTGGTTTTCAAATTGAAGTGTTCTTCCGAGGCACAGCCTGTTAATAACCAGTCATCGGATGTGATTACTTTGCACGAGACTAGTTTTATAAGTTCTGTCACCATTAATTTTATATCTCTTGGAGGTATGCAAGATTAACATGATAGTTTCTTAATAAGATCAGATGGCAGTCATATAAGGGAAAATCTATTTAATTACATCTGATAGAAATACATGGAGAATCCATGACAATTTTCTTGACTATGAAACTGACTTTTGAATTGCTTGGTTATTAACGGGTCATTGGACATGATTACTCTGCATGAGACTAGTTTTAGAAGTTGTATCTCCATTGACTGTATTGTGGAAGTATGCAAGATTAACATGATAGTCTCTTCAGATGGTAGTCATGCAAGGGAAAATCAATTTAATTAAATCTGACAGAAATACATGGAGAATCCATGACAATTTTCTTGAATATGAAAATGACCTTTGAATTGCTTGGAACAGTTCATTGGTATTAAATTGGACTGGAAATTTGGTTTTGATATGATTGTATTGAATTCAAGCAGTATTTGTTAGAGTTATATTTTTGACCTACAGAAGTACAGTTTAAATGCTAGAATGCTTATTGTTTTATGACTACCAGTTTACTAGTTTTGATGATGCAATTATTTTGCATTCCGTTTGCTGATTGTATGATTGATGCTTTTGCCCATTGTATAGCCCACTGTTAATCCAGTTGATGAATATGGGGCCCTAATTTATGCTGGGCGATGGGGAATCCACGGGATCACACTTCCGGGGAGGGTTACATTTGCACCTGGAAATGCTGGGTTTGCAACTTTTGGTGCACCACGTCCCATGGAGGCAAGTTGGAAAGACTATTTTATCATATTTTTCATTTATGCAAATACTCTGTGTGTATGTGTGTGTGTGTGTGTGTTAATTTTCCTTTTTATTTGTACAGACTCAAACCATCGGTGATGAAACTTGGAAGCTAATAGATAACATTTGGGATAAGAGGGTTGAAGAAATAAAAGCTGAAGCTTCAATGGAGGTTGAAGAAGACAAGGAGAAGCCACAGCTTTTGATGGCCAGTCATTTCCTTTGAAATCATGGTAATGTATTATTCCGAGTTCATGAGCAATATTTCAACTTGAAGTGTTCTCTTTCTTCTCTCTCTTTCTCTCTGTGTAATTACTTATGTAGTAAGAATAGTGGAATTCTATGAGCAATATTTCAACTTGAAGTGTACCCCTATATGTTAAATTAAACTGTTTTTTTTTTTTTTTTG